AATAAGATATCGAAATCGAATCACACGCGGGCTTTCCCCACCGATTCGCCGCGGTGGGACGCATATGATCATGAGAATAAAAATCCCAGTAAGTTAATTTACGATTGATGAGAAAAGGCACCGGAAGAACAGCTCGTTGATTACTTTCTTTTATGGTCGGGGACCGTTCACGGTCTTCTTTTTTTTTCATATTTTTTTTTTGGTTCTGTCACGCCGTCCCCGGCTCACCCGGTCGGAAGGTGCCTTTAGGTTTAAGAAGCTCGTTTAACATAATTTCGTTTCGTTAAGTTTTTTCTACGTTGATCAGTGGTCTTTCTCTGGGTCGAAGCTGATCGATATACTCGGCGATGCGATGCGATCGATCGATCGATCGATCGATCGGACGGACGGTCGTCGTCGTCGCGACGACCTGCACACTCTGTACGGCAGCGTCGTCGTCGTCGTTCGCGACGCAGTTTCGTCCGACGGCATCGCGCGTTGCACGGCCTCGGTGCGAGAAAGGTCGCGATCGCCGCGCGGTTCGGACGATATTATTGTAAATTGGTTGAATTTTGTAATCGGCGAATGAGAAAAAGCGCACTTTCGGGCGTACGATGCACGCCGCGCGATGGGCGAGGGTGCCGCGGCCGCCGCGCGTTCAGCGTGCTTCTCACACCTTAGCCAAGTTAAAATATTTAATCTCGACTAAGCTCGAATCACGGCGGCCGGCCGTTCGTCGCGCGCCGGGCCGCTCCGTTCGAGTTTTAACAAAGTAACAAAGTATTTATTATTCACTCGCGCGGGAGACGCTGAACGCGCGAACCGGGCTGCGCTGCGCAACGGACTGCGGGAAAAACTCTTTCTTCCCCGCACGGAAACGAAAACGTTATAACAATTGATATCCTATGATAAAAACAGTCGTCCCGCGACAGGTCAGGCCGAAGCGAGATCTATTTTCTTCTCCGCCCTCCGCGCACTCGAGGACAAAAAAAAAGAAAAAAGAAAAAAATCGTTTTTGGTTTGTCGTTCGCACGCGAGTAACGACCCCCCCCCCTTTTTTTACGAAGCTACCTACCCGTATAAGCTATAATCTCTCGTTCGGTATATAAATTATTGTATATTTTAAACACGTTTTTTTTTCTATTTTTTTTTTCTCCTCGCTCGCACATTGATTTTCGCAACGAATTGCACGGAAATAGCGCTAGGCAAACACAACCGGGCTCTCGCACGCTGCTGAACTTCTACCGACGACATCCGACCGCAAACGTTCAGGGAACAGACGTTCAGTGTTTAACATATATATATATATATTTTTCCGCTAACGCGAAAACCCCGGACGTTCGTCGACGTTCGCATACTCTAATCACCGGTTTCTGTTATATATATATATTTTTTTTTTGTTGTACGACGCGTGCGTGTATCGCGCGTGCGAACGTTCGGCCCGCGTCCGGAATAACAAATCGTTCTACATATAATATCGATGGATAATACAATACGATCGAGTCGGAGGATTACGTCGCGGCCAGAGCTTAATAAAGTGCCTAGCGAATAATTTTACCGCTGAAAGTTCTTGACTAGGAGTCTTCTTTTGTGAAGTCTTTTTAAGCATAAATTATTATTTCTTGGCGATGCACCGTCCCGCGTGCTCGGGAATTATTGGGAAGAGAGTGCTGCGTGTTTTCCATACGCGTGTCGTCGTCGTCGTAACAAGGCTGTCCGATCGTCCCTGTTCCCTCGTGTTCGTTTAAAACGGTGATCGTGTAACACGACGAATACAATATTATAGCGTGCATCACATCGTCGTTCGATCGTTGCGTCATTGGCTCCGTGACGAGCAGCGGGGAAATCATTGTTTTTTGTTTATTCGGCGATAGCGATGGAACGTCGCGGAGCGTTAAATTGCATCGTCGGTCGCTGTTTCCGTCGCGCGATCCTGACCGACGGACTGATCCACGCCCGGTGTCCAGTCTCGCTGCGATCGATCCGAGTGGTTCCGCTCTAATTTCTAGATAGATAGATAGATAGATAGATAGATAAATATATCACACTGTTCTTCGATGTTCCTATCTAATATTATATGCATACACATATACGTATACAGATATGTTAATTTTTGCACGAATTAGCGACTAAACTAGCGGTCACGAAAGTTAAAATTACCAAAAAAAGAAAAAAGAAGAAAGGAAGGGTGAAACGCGGAGAGAAAGAAAAGGAATGGGATAGAGATGACAAAAAAATATATATATACATAGAAATACACTCGCATAGAAATGAAGCGTATAACGACTTTCGCGCGACGAAAGATTCTTTTGATTATCCAAGCGTCGCCGGACACGAACGATAGATACGATATTTTAATCCCGTGTTGTGTGCGGCGGCGGCAGAGGCCCGAGAGAGATCGTACGAGCTCGATCATGCGATCGAACGAAAGCTTCGTCGTCGCGTTGTCTTATCGCGATCAAACGGAATCTAGTATTAGTGAAGCACGGCGAACGGGACACGGTGTTGTAGCGTGAATTATCTCAGGTGTTTCGCGAGAAGAACGAACGAACGCGACGATAAAATGGAAAAAGGAAAATAACGGAACACACACACACACACCCACACACGCGCGCGCGCACACACATTCCAAGTGTCGATGGTCGCGAGATTAAACGGCGGGAGAAGACGACTGACTTTTCGTCGTTCGACGTTCCCGTCCGTATCGGACCGAATCAAGGCCCCGCTCCCCCCAGCCTACCCTACCCACCTCCCCCCTGCCCCCCGTTCGACGAATTCTAACGAGAGCAATGCGTATCGTCGCGTATCGCGTTCGATGTACGAAAAATGGGAAAAAAAATCGTTTTACGATAACGCGGCATGATATTTTTGTACGGTTTAATCTAGAGTAATTCCGATAAGCAACGGATGTATATCACACCCGAACGAACCATTTATTGTTTGTTTCGTGAAGGAACGTTGAAGCCGATGAAACGTCGAGATGTTGTATCCAAGCGAATAAAGAAGATTTTGTATTGCTATTTTTTAATAAAAAAAAATGGTATCTCTATGTACACGCACGTGTGTGTGTATCCGGGGTGTTTCGCCGCGGCTCGCCGCCCGCGTCCGCCGTGTCCCTTCACGGCTCGTAGTTCCTCGCGTCTTCGACGGCCAGCTTCGCGCCGCATTCGCCGCATAGGAACTCGTTGGTGGCGGTGAAATGCGCCGTCAGACAATAGTAGCAGAACAGATGCTCGCAGCCGGCGTGCATCGGCATGATCGGTGTCTCGCCGCAGTACGCGCATTTCGTGGCGACGGTCATCTTCGGGGCGGCTCGCACCGTCGTCGCGTTGCCGCGACTACCTCTCGTCAGCAGCCTCTTCGCCGCGTGCTTCAGGTAGTGGAAGTTGATCAGGGGCAGGCCGACGGTGAACAGCTCCATGAGGCCGTGCCAGAGCAGCTCCCTGGTCATGTACGAGTAGCCGATGTTCCTCGGCTTGTGAGTGGTCGTCGAACGACTCGAGATGCCCAGCAGGTACTCGACGACCCGGGGCTGCGTGCCCCGGTGCAGGAACACCAGGAAGTTCAGGAAGCCGAGCAGCTTCGTCGCGTTCGCGACGCGATCGAGGACCGCGGCGAGACGTCGCGCGCGGTCGCTGCCTTCGAGCTTGTCGCGCGCGTACGCCGGCGCCACTGTCAGGATCAAGTAGAAGAGGGATTTAGCTCGGTCGATGTTCTCGTAGTGCAGGTTCAGTAACTGCTGGCCGAAGGTCGACTTTCCACGGTACAGCGAGAACTTCCACATGAGGAACTTGAGCAGCGCGTCGATCTCCGGCTGCCATCGATCGATCCTGTCCGTCGGCCGGTACTCCGTGATCCGTTTTACCTGGCTCCTCAGCACCTTGTAGATCTCGTCGTCCAGCTGGGCCGCGTCGATCTGATTGATCCGCGACACGTACGGCGACGCCGTCATCTTCGACCTTGCTGGAACACCGATGCACGCGAATCCTCGCTGGTTACCAGAGACCCGGGCAGAGTTTGATTCGAGACGGGAGCTGGAAATAATGTGCACCGAGGTGCTGAGAGTAATGTTGTAAGTAATGGGAACATTGGTTGCGTTAATTAATAATTAATTGGTGAACGATTAATAGTTAGATCACCGTGTAATTTGAAGAAGAACTTCGGAATTATTTCAAATAGTTATAAAGTAAAATAACGGGTTACTTAAAATGATTTCTTAATTCATAATTGAGAATTAGTTTACCGTGTAATTTGAAGAAGAACTTCGGAGTTATTTCAAGTAATTATAAAGTAAAATAACGAGTTACTTAAAATGATTTTTTGTTCAAAGTGATCTCAGTCGCGAAAATAATCATGAAATAAAATAATATGTTAATAAGTAACGCGAACATTGGTTGCATTAATTAATAATTAACTGGTGAATAATTGAGAATTAGCTCACCGTGTAATTTGAAGAAGAACTTCGGAGGTATTTCAAGTAATTATAAAGTAAAATAACGAGTTACTTAAAATGATTTTTTGTTCAAAGTGATCCCAGTCGTGAAAATAATCATGAAATAAAATAATATGTTATTCGAAATAATACTCCGAATAATGTTACAGTAATGTCTCCCTTACTGACGCTCAGATTGTGCACAAAAATGGACAATTTTGGAAGAGAGCCGTGCAACTCGTTTTTATAATTATTGATAATCGATAACCATAAAAAACGAGCCACAAGGCTCGAACAATCGTATCTCCTTTTCCGAAATTGTCCATTTTTGTGAACTATCTGAGCGTCAATTAGAGAGACATTATTATACTTCGAACGTGCCCAAGTGCGAAGGTTACCGACTACGGTAACGCCTCGAAATTTACGTGTTTCAAGGCAGGTGGTACAAGGAGCACTCTCTCTCTCTCTCTCTCTCTCTCTCTCTCTCTCTCTCTCTTTCTACACGAAAGTAAGTAAAACAGAGAGAAATAACATTTTCTCGACCGACGCTTCGTTTTCGAGAAAATCGAGTTCGCAGATTCGTCTGATTCTGACCTACTGGAAGTAGATCCGGCAGGATACGATCAGACGAGCGTGATCAGCGCCATTAAAACTCGATTCCCTCGAAAGGAGAACGTGAAACCGAGAGGAAATGTTGTCCGTTCGTTTCGACGTGAAAACTCTGTCCATCGGAATATTCAAATTAGAACCTTTCCCGGCGGCAAGTACGGGTGCTTTTCCAGTACGTGGTAGAACTTCGTGTTTACGTCGGTAGAACCGCAAAGAGGGCGAATCTGCATGAGCAAACGAGTCAAAAGTGTAGAGGGTAAAGTTTGTCGACCGGCGCTTCGCTATCGAGAAAATTCAATTCGAAAGTTCGACGTGTTACGCGGGTTTGTGAATCAGCTGACGCGTCTGATCATGACTCGCCGGTTCTACTTGCCGCGATCGCTAATGCACGGAGAACACGGAGACGTTGCTACAGTCTGTGGATTTCGTTGAATTCCGTTATCTAGGTCGTTAACTGCCGTTCCGGTTACAGCTCGGTCATTAGAAATGACATTAAGTGGAATTTAGATAAATGGTGAACGATTATTCGTAAACTTTGACGACCGTCAAGCTTCGACGAGTGACTAGAGTCGTCGGCAAAACTGCAATATCGAATGACGATAGTCACTGTTACAGAGAAAAGGGTTTTCAGTGCAGAATAAGAATAAGAAGAAGCATGACAATAGTCGAGAAGCATTACCGCGATTCGACGGTTCGTCCTCTCGAAGATGTTTACGTTCGCGGTGATGATAGTCGGCCGTATCGTGCCGCAGATGCCGCGTTGGACGCGTACCTGCGTTTGTCGGCGGCCGAATCGAAGGGAAAAATCGATGCAGTCGTATCGAGAGAGCACGTTAGCTGGCAACGGGTCGATTCCTCGAAGGATGACACGCGGGCGCCGTGCATTCGATGGGTCGTTCGTGCGGCGGAGATAACGCGAACGAGAACTGAAGCGAAGGAAGCTAGGTTAAGGGAACGAGGATGGCGCTTCGAGCGGCGCGAGGATCGCCGAGGAGCGTGGAGGCGCGGCGAAGAGACGCGAGAACGCTCGAGGCCGGCCGAGCGGCGGCGAGACCGAGCGATTCGGGGCTCGGTCGGTCTCGGGATCGTTCGGCGCGGCTCGAGCCGAGTCGACTCGGGGACTCGGGGCTTCGACGGTCGACGGGTGTCCTCTGTAGGAAGCGGAGGAGGCATCGCGACGCGCAGCTTCGATTTCGAATATCGGGATTCCCGCAGTGAAGGAATCGCAGTCGCGGTGCGCGCGCGCGCGACCGCCCTCTGTTAGCGTTCCCTCGGAAATCACGTGGAAAAGGAGCGGATTCGAGTCGAGTCCCGCAAGGCCGCCAAAGCCGGAGCAAACAAGAGCTTGAAAAGAGGTGTCGGACGGTAGGCGGTTGTCTCTCGTTGTCAGTCGTGGTCGAGAGGGTTCGCGCGGTGACCAGCGCGAGTGCAGCAGCCGAGCGAGACCGACGCCGAAAGCGAGAGACCGAGAGACTGAAAGAGAGCGAGTGAGAGCGTGAGCGAGAGAGAGAGAGAGAGTGAGACGGGTAGAGAAAGAGAGCGTGAGCAAGAGTGAGAGAGAGAAAGAGTGTGAGCGAGAGAGAGAGAGAGAGAGAGAGAGAGCGAGAACGAGAGACAGACAGAACGCGAGCGAGTCGAGCAGCGCAGGGCAACCGTGCGCCGATTTGAGGTTAGCTCGGGGGACAGCTGTCGGACACGAACGAGAGGCCGACCCGACTCGACTCGAACCTCTCGAGCCCGCGTCCTATCGCGTCCTATCGCGTTTCGGGCTCCATGTTGCCGCTGGTGGAATGACGTCATCGAGTGTTGGTGCTTCGACAGTGGGCTCTTTCCTCGCCCGTTCCATCACAGTTCGACGATCATGTTTTCGTGATAAATTCTGAGGTTTCGTTTTTGGTGCGGCGGACGGTGAACCGAGTGAACCCGTCGTTTCGAGGTCGCCGACTAACGCTACCGTCCGAGGCTGCCACGCATCCATCCACCATCCCAGGTGAGTACTCCAAATTATATAATGTCCGTCTTTTTTCTTTCTCTCTCTCCCTCTCTTTCTTGCATTCCCTCTCTCTCTCTCTCTCTCGCTCTTTCCACGACTCCGTTCCCGTCTCCGTCTTCCTTTCTCTCCGTCGTTCTGTCCGTGAATCCGCTCTCTGCGAACCAACGGTCTCTCGGATCATCGATCCGTCAACTGACAGGTTAACCTCCGATCCGACGTCGCCAGTTCTCGTATATCCCTCTCTCTCTCTCTTTCTTTCGCCACTCTGTCCGTCTCGCTCCACGGTTTCGTTCCGTTTCGCACGCACACGTACGTGCTCGGCCGCGCTCGTTCTTTCGTTCGCTCGTTCTCCCGTGTCGCCCCTTTTCAATTCTTGTGCTCCACTCCGTCCCGTTCCCGACCCCGGAGGCACATTTCGTCGGGGAAAACCGATTGATTCGTAACCTGTTATGGTGCGACGGTGCGAGCGGAACATGCATTGCCTTAAAACGCATCGCCGGCCGGGTGCCAGTGGCACGCGTTATTTTCGCTTTCGCGTCGGCCACTTGTTCGCGACCACCGTCTGTCCCCTTATCGCCTCTCTCTCTCTCTCTCTCTCTCGCTCGCTCTCTTCCCTCCGCATGTTCCGTCGCTCGCGGAAAATCGAGTGCCGAGTCCGGGTTCGAGTCCCTTTATTTGGACGGCGGAGCGACCGGCACCGATACGCGAACCCGATCGATATCCAAGGCGCTTCCATTTAACCGCACTCGTGTCGTTAACCTATCCCGCTGGCCCGTTCCGCCGGTCCACGTACAATCGGAATCTGCGCCTCTCCTTTTCGTCTAGCGGTTCTCCATCGGTTCCCGCCCTCCGTACCCGTCTCGTCGATACGTCTCGTTCAGAATCGCCGCGTAACCTCCCCGTGTTCCTCCTCCTCCTCCTCCTCGCACGTTTTCGCAACTCACGTCCGATAACCCTGTCTGACTCCTTCTGTATTTCGAGCTGCGCGCGGATTATCGTTGACGCGGCGGTGCCCCGCGAAATCTCTGGCTCGCCTCGCGTGCGATTTCGACGCCGCGTGACGACTGGGCGTGGCGAGGACGAATTTCGCCGGGACGTGCACGTGTCCCCGAGCCGGCTCGAAAGCGCGAGCGAGCCACGCTCTCCGGCGATCAGCCCCCGAATCCGCGGCGATCGCGATCCGCGATATCTAAGCTTCGCTTCGCGAATCGATTCCCAGGAAGAACCTTCTCGCCCGTCGGCTTCGGGTTACGGTTTCATTCACGTTCCTCGAGACGATAGGCGGCGAGCTGCTGCTCCCATTCGTCCCTTCCGGTTCCACTCAACCCCTCCGCGTCGTGGGCGCCGACGTTTCCTACCTGCGATTTTGCTGGAGAAGAAAAGAAAAAAGGAAAAAAAGAAAACGTTTTCTATCATGTATCCGTGAAATCGAGAACACTGATTCGTTTCTCGTTGAGACGATCTCTCGCGGTTCGAGAGGAAATTCCGCACCGCGGCGAGTCGCTCTGCGGCGGCCCTGCGGAAAGCAGGTCCCGAAAGAGACACACACGGCGGACACCTATTTCCTCGGTCGTACCGTGCTGCCCTCTCGTGTTTTCGCGTTTTTTCCCCGTATCGTGACCCCGCGGAACGGGGTCACGCGCACCTAGATGCCTCCCGACGTTCTTTTTTTTTTTATCGCGCCCGTCCAGACGGACGTTCCGTTTTCTCGGTAACGACCGCGCGGATTCTGATCCCCGGATAAGAGAACCGTTCTCGGTGAACGTACGGAACGACGCGGCGCGTTCCGTCGCGGCGGCGGTTCCGCGTCCGAAAAAGAAAGGCCGACGGTAGTAGTCGACGTGGTGGAAAATCGACGTCTCGACAGCGCGAACGTTACGAAAGCATCGAAGACGGTCGGCATTGTTGACCGACGGACAAAATGCTCGGGAAAGTCAAGTTTTGCCCCGGCAGGGTAGGTGGTGGCGCGAGGCGTGGCGAAGTATTGATCGCCGTTGCGATTTCCCTCGGTTCTCCACCCCCGCCGACCAACGTCATCCACCGTTTCGAGCCCTCTCGCTCGGCCCGTCTCCGCGACGCCTGCGCTCTCCCGCTCTCCGTTTCTCTCTCCCTCGCTCTATCTAGCTCTCCCTCGCTCTCTCTCGCTCTCCGTTTCTCTCTCCCTCGCTCTCTCTCAAGCTCTCTCCCGCTCTCCGTTTCTCTCTCCCTCGCTCTCCCTCGCTCTCTCTTGCTCTCTCTTGCTCTCTCTCGCGCTCCCTCTGGCTCTCCGTCCCTCTCCGTCCCTCTCCGTCCCTCTCTATTCCTCCCTATTCCTCTCTATTCCTCTCCCGGCGCCTCTCACGCTCGACCCACCTTCTTCACCCTTCGGCTCGTCCCTCCGCTACCGTTATCGTTGCTACTTTCACCTCCGTACCTACCTTCGCTATTGCCACCGGCATTCACCCTTCGCTCCGGCCATCGAATCTGCTCTGCTCTGCTCCGCTCTGTCCTCTCTCCCTCTCTTTATCCCTCTCTCTATCCCTCTCCCCCTCTCTCTGTCTCTCTCTCTCTCGCTCTCATTCTCTCCCTCTCTCTATTTGCTCCGCTCTGTTCTACTCGCGTCTACACCAGCCGCCCCTCTACTCACCCCTCCGCGCGACCGCCATCCCATTCGCGTCTCGCTAGTCACGCGGTCTTTTAACTACCCTTTACTCGTGTCACTTCTCCCCTGTGCCCCCAAGACCCGCTGCGTTCTCTCGCGAAAATCAATCAACCTCACCGAAACCGAGATTCCGCTGCCCTTCGCTGTCCTTCGAACTCTGACCGTCCGTTCTGCTGCTCTCCATTGTATGAACACCACATCGAGTTCGGGGACACGCTTGCGGAATAGATCGATACGATCGAAAGAGATAAACAACCGCATCCGCGCGAACTTCTGGTACGAGCAGCGGACTGCAGGCGAGGCGGTCGGTCAATTCTCCGGCGGCCGGTTTTAACGCCGACCGAGAAACTAACGACGCGAAACAATGCCGACCCCGTTGATGCGCGGGGTCTTTGAAAAAAAAAATGAACAAAAATAACGGTTCGGTCAACATTTTTAATGCCGTTCGAAGCAAAGAATATCGTCTATTTTTACACGAGAACGATATTTATCCGTTCGTTCGATCGAACGGCCGGAATAAAACGGACACGGCGCGATGAAATTCGGATCGGTCGGGAACTAACGACGCGTAACGAAGCTAATAGAAAGAGCTGAAAATTCCGAGCTCGTCGATGAATTTATCGGCACGCGTGCGGACCTTTGTGATCGGATCGTCGAATCCGTTGTAAAAGAATTCGGTTCGAATGGAGGATTTTTGCGTAAGCAACGAGCACAGGCGTTGAAATTGGCTAAATACCGCGCGGGGGTGTACTTTCGACGACGCTTATTAATCCTTCGCACTCGAGTGGTGACTTCGAAGCACCGGTAAAATTGTTGTATCACGTTCCAAGATAATGTTTATATTAACACTATGCCGTCCGGTGGCACCACGCTGGTACCATGCAAAAACTATCTGTTGTATGCCGGTGGTACTACTTTGGTGCCATTTTAAAAATTTGAAATAACATTCGAACTATATTTCTTGGGTGTTAAAAGGCAGCAAACTAACTATAGCATTGTGCTTATTTAACTAAGAACTAAGTACGAAAATTCTTGGATGACATGTCTTAATTTTAGGAATTTATATTACCGCCATCTTCGAGATTTTTTTTAAAATCTAAAATTTCCAAGCTATTATGCCGGCGACAAATAAAAGAATCATATCCAAGATCTGCGGACGGCATAGTGTTAACAATGTTTAGATTTTAAAAAATTGTTAAAAGTGTAACTGTTGCTACGAGTCACCGCAATACTCAATTTCATATGCATAGAATGCATAATAATAATAATATAGTATATATAATAAAGCATGTATAGTATAAATAATAATATAATAATATAGTATGCACTTTGTCGTACAAAATGGAAATACTATAAGACAGAAAAATTGCTTTAGCTTCACAGTTAAAATGGCTTCGAGTGCAAAGGGTCGAATTAACAATTTCGAAAGAAAACAGCACGCGTCAGCTATTATTATTCTTCCGATACGGGTTTTTATATCATCGGCGAGCGGCGAACGCTTCTGCGAGGAGCC